TCATTGATTTGCTTTGATTTTAATTATTTCTTTTCATCTGCTTTCTTTCTTCCTAGTTTTTAAAAGCTTGTATCCTACATCATCATTTGAGACCATTTCTCTTCCTATATAAGCACTTACTAGTAATGCTATAAATTTCCCTCTAAGCACTGCTTTATTTGCAGCCCATAAATTTTGGTTGTACTTTCACTTTTCATTCTATTTAACATATTTTCTAATTTCCTTTGTGACTCCCTCCTTGACCCAGATATGTTAAGAAATATGTTGTTTAATTTTTAGGTATTTGGGGTATTTTTCATCCATCTTTTTTGTTGTTTTTATTTCTAGTTTAATTTTGTTGTAGTCAGGGACACATTTTGCATGACCTTAATTTTTAAAAAAATAATTGAGGAGTGTTTTATGGCTCAGAATACGGTCTACCATGGAGAACAAGCACTTAAAAAAATGTGTTATTTGCTGTTGTTGGGTGGAGTGTTCTATAAATATCAACCAGGTCAGATTGATTGATATTGTTTTTTTAAGTGTTCTGTATTCTTACTGATGGCCATTAACAACATATCAGAGATGGGGTGGTTTAATCAACAGAAATTTGTTTTCTTACAGGTCTGGAGACTAGAAGTTCAAGATCAAGGTGTTAGCAAATTTGTTTTTTGCTTCTCTCCCTGGGTTGTAGATAGCCATTTTCTCCCTGTGTATTCACATGCTCTTTTCTCTGTATGTGTAGATCAGGGCCCCCACCTTTATGGATCTTAATTGAACCTAAATAATTTTTTAAATACTTATCTCCAAATATATTCATTGGAGATTAATGCTTCAGTGTATGGATTAGGGGGTGGGAGTGGGGAGGGGGAAGGGACAATTCATTCCACAACCCCGATTTTCTGTTTACTTGTATTATCAATTACTGAAAGAGGAGCACTGAAGTCTCTAACTATATTGTAGATTTATCTGTTTCTCTTTTTGGTTCTATCAGTTGAAAATTTTTGGGATCTGATTTTTGCTAATCTTAAGAGGAAGACTTAATAGTAGAATTATCTGATTTAAGTTATCAGCTCTATACTGTTAGGCGTGTGTTTAATCCTGTACAGAATTAAAATGGTTGTGTAAATGGGGCCAGTTATTAATTCAGTAAGGATTTTATTTATTTTAATCGTAATTTTTAATCATTATAAAATACTAGGGGTCCAGTGCATGAATTCATGCACCTTGAAAGGAACTGTGGGCCATGAGGCTGTGGTGGGCACAGGGGCGGGTCTCAGCCCATCCTCCGCGCCCCTGCCCAGCCCCTCCCATCGAAGCCCCG